TCATGAAGTGCTACCGTTCTTTGGTCTCCATTAAAAATCAATCAAACAATAAACTTCTCAGAACTCTAAGCAATTTAAGCTTATTTAGTATAATACCCTACTATTCCTTCATTTTGGTGCCTTGCTCTCTAGGTCATTTCCTTTCACGCTCCATTCTGAACAGACTAGTGTCCCCCTTCTTGGAGAATGCCATTTTTACTTGGGCCTTCCCACCTTTCAGTTCCATCCACTTAGGGGCCCTTAGGTGGCTCAGTCACTTAAGCATCCAACTCTTAATTTCGGCTCACTCATGATCTCAAGGTCATGAGGTTGAGCCTTGCATCAGGCTCTCTGCTGGGCAGGGAGCCTGCTTGAGATTCTCTCTCTCCTTCTGCCCCACCCCTGCATACTCTCTCTCAAAAGAAAAAAGTTCCATCCACTTAGCATGTTCCTAGTGCATATCAGAACCCCAAAATGCTACTTTGTGGCCCTTGCAGTGATAACTTGTGTGAAAAAGGTTTTCCAGTGTAGCCTTAGTATAAAGTCATACTTTCATTTGTCTCTGATCTTGGTAGCCAGGAAATTTGAAATTTAAATGACCTGCTGCATTTTCTTTCTTTTTTAAATGGATATGCAGAATATGAAATGAAATTTAGGAAAAGATCATGGCAAAGAATGGTGTGGTGGTATATATAGGTGTATTGGTTTCAAAAATGCATTGATTGTCCTCAAATAGCTGTTGCTTTGTTGTTCTCGGTTAAATTTCAAAGCACTGAGCAGGTACAGGCTCAAAGACACAAATTAGAAAATATTCCATTAAAACAATTTAATTTTCTTCTTTTGCTGGTTTTTAAAAGTCCATAAACAAGCGCTTGGGAAGAGTTTGCAGTTTGTTTTCATTTTTTAAATGGTAAGACTGAGATGTAGATCTATATTTATTTGTGCCAGAGTTAATAGCACCTCCAAGATTGTAACTTCTGAGTTTGTCAGACTAGTTTGTTTTCTCCAAGTGTTTTTTTTAACATGTGGCTCTACCTAACGTTTCTTTCTTTTTTTTCTTGCCCATCCTCTGATTCATAGATACTTCTGCTCTGCAGTTGCATGTGTAAAATTTAACAATGAAGTAATTTTAGCAAAGTGTGTTGGACCTTTCTTCTTTAGTTACAGAATATGTTAATGTTTTCTTTATTTAGAAGGCTCAAATAACATCTTGTATCTCTTGTAATTTACTTATTAGAACTTAATGTTCACATCCATTTTACTTTTTCATTTCATTGATACACTTGGTGAAAAATAATGATTTTCAGTTTCTATGGTTATTGCTTTGTTACATTTAAATATGCTTAATAGATTACTGTAATTTAAAAATAATCTCTGCCTCCTTGGGTATTACTGTTTCTTTTATTAAAATAACATTATTTATTTTATTTTTATTAAAGATTTATTTATTTCAGAGAGAGGGCACGCTTGAGCAAGCAGGGTGGGGAGGGGCAGAGGGAGAGGAAAATAAGACTCCCCACTGAGGGTGGAGCCCAATGTGGGGCTCAGCCTCCCCACCCATATAGCATAATCTGAGCCGAAACCAAGAGTGGGATGCTTACTTGACTGAGCCACCCAGGCACCCCAAAATAATATGATTTATTAAAATCATTAAGTGTAGTTCTTAATGTATGTTATATAGATGAATCATGCCTGTATTAGGTAATTAGACAGTTGATCTACTTTTCAGAAATGAAGTAATCTTTTAGTATTTCAGGTAGTTTTTCAGTGATTTGAAAGATTGTTTTTGAATACTTGTCAGTCTGTTTGTTCTATTAAGGCATATTCTCTTTCTTTTTAATTATTTTTCTTTTTAAAGATTTTATTTATTTGAGAGAGGGAGGGGGAGAGAGAGAGAGAGAATGAGTGAGGGGGAGGGGCAGAGGGAGAAGCAGACTCCCCGTGGAACAGAGAGCCCGGTGCAGGGCTTGATCCCAGGACCCTGGGACCATGACCTGAGCCGAAGGCAGTCACTCAACCAACTGAGCCACCCGTGTGTCCAGGCATTTTCTCTTTAAATTAATTTGGTGTATAGCCCCTGCTCTTTGACCAGATAGGATAACATTTTGAATTTATGTGTGATTGCTGTGGAGTCACCATCCTTCCTGGAGCAGAGCTGGCTTATTGTAAATAACTTTGTACAGTAGGTTGATGATCTTTCATGTTAAATATACTCTTCCTGGATACATGTTATTAAAAAGCCATGGCTCTGGGAACTTCTTCAACTCCTTTCTTGTTTTTGTTTTAGGATTTTCCTGTTGAACCGGTCACAATTGGAATAGCTTTACTACTGCTACAGACTCCAGCAAGTCAGCAGAAACCAATCCTAAGTCTAGGTAAATAAAAATAGCCTCACAAGAGTAAAATGTAAATAGAACATAAGTGTTGGCAGGAGTCTCTTGAGCTACATGTTATGCTATGCTAGAAAGTCCTGTATACTTTGAGTTTTTGTTCTAGAATTTTCCTAATCATTCTGAAATAGAACTTTGTTTTTCTTACCGACAAGGTGTTTTGTGAAAAGGTTCCATATACCATAATTTACCAAGTATCTCGGCTGTCCTAAGAGGGAGGAATGGGACTAAAGGCGGGTAAAAATGTTCCATTTAAAAATATGGTATAAAATCAAGTTGATAGGTCTGGCCGATGGCAACCAAGTCACACCTTTAAAATGCAGCTTTTATGTTAATGTTGCATCTCTTTACTCTGGGTAACATCTATATAGTAATGGAGGATCTGTCTAAATTATGTTGCATGGTGCCATCAAAAAAAAAATGAAATCTTGCCATTTGTAACAATGTGGATGGAACTAGAGGGTATCATGCTAAGCGAAATAAGTCCATCAGAGAAAGACAATTATCATATGATCTCACTGATATGTGGAATTTGAGAAACAAGGCAGAGGATCATAGGGGAAGGGAGGGAAAAATAAAACAAGACGAAACCAGAGAGGGAGACAAACCATAAGAGATTCTTTTTTTTTTTTTTTTTTTTTTTTAAGATTTTATTTACTTATTTGACAGCGAGAGAGGGAACACAAGCAGGGGGAGTGGGAGAGGGAGAAGCAGGCTTCCCGCTGAACAGGGAGCCTGATGCGGGGCTTGATCCCAGGACCCTGGGATCGTGACCTGAGCCGAAGGCAGATGCTTAACGACTGAGCCACCCAGGCGCCCCAAGAGACTCTTAATCTCAGGAAACAAACAGGGTTGGTGGAGTGGAGGGGGGTGGGAGGGATGGGGTGGCTGGGGGAAGGACACTGGGGAGGGTATGTGTTATGGTGAGCGCTGTGAATTGTGTAAGACTGATGAATCATAGACCTGTACCCCTAAAATAATACATTATATGTTAATAAAAAAATTAAAATAAGTTATGTTGCATGGTGCCATCTGTCAGTACATCCCCACTCTCATTTTAAAGTGCTTAAAGAGGTAGATACTGATTGTGTAACTCGTTGTGGGCATTTTAATTCAACATGATTTTGAGGGTGAATTCCTTTTCCACTTACAGTCTGCCTTGAGAATGGCTGTAGCGTGCAGAGGGGGCCCTTGGCTTCCTGCACTCTTTTTGTCTGTTGGCTTCGCGCTCATTTGTGCCCTCCTCCTGAGGCTCTTTCTGAACTGCTTTTGCCTTTTTTGTTGATGTTATTGTTCTCCTAGTGGTGCACATGGCATCTTCCCAGAGGTATAATTTGCCAGGGCTGGTACTTCCGACAGCCATAGGTTGTTTTTTTTTTCTTTATTTTTCTCTTCTATTTTTTAATTTAAATTCAATTAATTAACATATAATGTATTACTGGTTTCTAAGGTAGAGGCCAGGGATTCATCAGTCTTATATAACACCCAGTGCTCATTACATCACAAGCCCTCCGTAATGTCCATCCCCCAGCCACCCCATCCCTCCCACCCCCCTCCCCTCCAGCAACCCTCACTTTGTTTCCTATGATTAAGAGTCTCTCATGGTTTGTCTCCCTCTCTGATTTCGTCTTGTTTTATTTTTTCCTCTCTTTCCCTACGATCCTCTGATTTGTTTCTTAAATTCACATATCAGTGAGATCAAATGATAATTGTCTTCCTCTGATTGACTTATTTTGCTTAGCATAATAGCCTCCAGTTCCATCCACTGACGGCCAGAGTTTTGTTTTCCTTTCTAAACAGCTTTATGGAGGGGCGCCTGGGTGGCTCGGTAGTTGGGCGTCTGCCTTCGGCTCAGGTCAGGTCATAGTCCTGGGGTCCTGGGATTGAGCCCCGCGTCAGGCTCACCGCTCGGCGGGAAGCCTGCTTCTCCTTCTCACACTCTCCCTGCTTGTGTTCCCTCTCTCGCTGTCTCTGTCAAATAAATAAATAAAAATCTTTTAAAAAAATAAAATAAGGGCGCCTGGGTGGCTCAGTCGGTTAAGCGACTGCCTTCGGCTCAGGTCATGATCTTGGAGTCCCGGGATCGAGTCCCGCATCGGGCTCCCTGCTCGGCGGGGAGTCTGCTTCTCCCTCTGACCCTCTTCCTTCTCATGCTCTCTATCTCTCATTCTCTCTCTCTCTCAAATAAATAAATAAAATCTTAAAAAAAAATAAAATAAAAAAATAAACAGCTTTATTGAGGTATAGTTTACTTACCATAAAATTTACCATTTTTAAGTGTACAATAAAGTGGTTTTTTAAAAAAATGAATTTACAAAGTTGTGCAACCATTACTACAATCTAGTCATAGAGCATTTCTGTCATCCAGTATGTTATGTTGAAAAGTAGGGAAGATCCACTGTTTAGTATATTGGGAAAGAGTGTTCAAATAGGATAACCAAGAAGGTATTGATGATTTCAAATTTGACAGATGCACAGCATTAATACAGTATTATGCTTCTTAATTATTAACACTAGCCTTGATTGTAAATAGCAATTTATAAAAATGCCTGGAAGATTTCTAATAAAGAAGACAGAAATGTGTACATTTCCTGTTTTATTAAAGATAATGGATTTTCATAATCTCTCAGGGACAATTATGGATTAAGACTAACATTTCAGTTGGAATGACACAGAAAACATTTGCATGCCCCCTGTACAAAGATACATGCACATTCATGAAGCGTTCCGTATTTTTAAAACTCAATTAAAAAAAAAGACTAATATTTTGGCAGAAAAGGTCAGTTAGCAGTGTTAAAGTAACAGGTGTTTGTACTTCATACCATGTTCAGGTTTGATTTCCAAATGATGAAAAGAAAATATTGGCAACTCACTGACATGACTTCAGACTTATAGACTTTTTTTGGTGTTGTGGGGAAATCGATTGATAATCTAGCTCAGAAGCCTGTGAATAACATCTTTCGGTAAATTAAGATTCATCTGATAATTGTGAAAAATATATTTCTGCTTTAACTCATTCTGTTAATGGTCTGGGGAGATTATTTATGTGAGTAAGGTATCGCACATAGGTGTGTATATTTCTGATGTGTAAGTTGAGTGTCCATGTTAAAAAAAGAATCATTTATGAAAATGGGTTTTATTGTTGCTGGTTATGGACTCTGAGACTTTTCCTGATTTGCTCTTTAGCAATTACCGTGAAGGACATCCCTGCTTCACCTCATTTACTAATGCATCTCAATATAATTCTCAACTGGGTTTTTAAGGGAAGCATGCACATTGGTCTTAAAATCCACTGATCAGGAGCTCAGGTCTCTTGGCTCTGTTGAAGGCAGTGGAAGGACCTGACAATATAAGGACAAAAGTTGAATTGTATTTTATTTATTTTAAAAGATTATTATTTTTTTTTTTTTGAGAGAGAGAGAGAAAGAGCATGTAAGTGTGTGTGTGTGTGGGAGGGGTAGGAGGGGAAGGGCAGAGGGAGAGGGAGAGAATCTCAGGGAGATCCCACACTGAGCGTGGAGCCTGATGTGGGGCTTGATCTCAGGACCCTAAAATCATGACCTGAGCCAAAACCAAGAGTTGGATGCTCAACTGACTGAGTTACTCAGGTGCCCCAGCTGAATAGTATTTTAAAGAAAGCCATATTTACTTAAAGAGTTGGTTTATACTTTATGGTATGTATTTTCTCTAAGAGTATCCTAAAGTTATCAGGAACATACATTAACAGCTTGTTTTAGATAATAGTTTTTATGTTCCTTTCTAAAAGGGTAAGATCCATTGTCTTAGTTATGTGTCTGACCCAGTTGTAAAGGGGTAAGAAAACTTTTTGCATATCACTCTTAAACAAAGTAGCTTTTGGTTGGATTGTGGTAGTGGTTTTTTAAATGTGAATTGATGTTTTGATGAATAGCTTTGAAGCTCCTCTCTGTTGCTGAGGGTCAGAAAATCCCAAGGTCATCCTTGGTGCTAGTGATGCCAGTTCTGCAGATACTGTCTTCTACTGCCTTGGAAGACTGTATATCCATGGATGAAGAAGGTCCCTCGAGACAACAGTTGGCTTTGAACCTTTTGGAAATGGTACAGCAGGAGTCCTACAGAGACGAGCACCAAAAGGTAATGAGTTCAGCCTTGTTTCTCTTCTTTATTTTTTTAAAGATTTTATTTATTTATTTGAGAGAGAGAGAGTGAGAGACCGTGTGGGAGGAGGGGCAGAGGGAGAAGCGGACTCCCTGCAGAGTAAGGAGCCAGACGCGGGACTCGATCCCAGGACGCTGGGATCATGACCTGAGCTGAAGGCAGACGCTTAACCCACTGAGCCACCCAGGCGCCCTTGTTTCTCTTAAATAAACGCGAAGTGGTAAATGTGGGACTACTGTTTGTGCAGATAATCTCACCTCCTGATGAAGTATCTGGGTTTAAACTTCTCCCCTTGAACTTCACCATTCTGTCAGGCAGAGATGTAGCTATTAGTTTATTCTTCTGGACTGTGAGAGGGGAGTGCAAAATAAGTTTTGGAAATACTGTATGATTTTTTTCCTCTTTGAGTTTTCTTTAAAAATTTTTTTTTTAAGATTTTATTGATCTATCAGAGAGAGAGAGGGGGCACAAGTAGGCACAGCGGCAGGCAGAGGGAGAGGGAGAAGCAGGCTCCCCACTGGGCAGGGAGCCCGATGCGAGACTCAATCCCAGGACCCCGAGATCATGACCTGAGCCGAAGGCAGATGCTCAACCAACTGTGCCACCCAGGCGTCCCCTTTGAGTTTTCTGACTATATCAGTTGTTAAACGTCCTGAGAAATCCTGCAGAAAAGGAACTAGTTCTGTTTAACCTACTGCTCCTCTGACACATTTGAGCAAGGAATCCTTTTTTCTTATCATATTCTTTAATTTAGCATTTTATACAGCATGTTGTTACATCTGGGACAATCCAAGGTGGGAAATCTCCTCAAATGCCTGAAAATTCTGGGATCTGTAAGACCTAAGACTTGATTTTTTAATATGTGGCACCTTAGGCCATTTTCCTTGGCAAAATGGCTCTTGATGTATCCTGCGTGGTCCCCTCCACTGCTACCTTCAGTTGGAAGACTGCAGGTCTCTCACGCTGCATCCCTGTTCCCCCTGCTACACAGACCTCAGTCTGCTTTGTCCATCTCACTGTTTCTGTCATGATAATGTAAAAGTATTGTCAACATCTGGTTAGTGGCTGGGTTCTGGGCCCACGTTGGTTAGACATTTTCTCTTTTGGTGCTTGAGTATTGCCTCCAGTAAAATGTAGTATTACTTTCCCAGCTATGAATTTGATGGGGATTGAATGAGCATTAAAGCAGTAAAACTGGTGAAACATCTTATGTCTCCACGGAGAAAGATAGTATATAAATGCAGGCGAGAGCCAGTCGTTTCATCTGCAAAAGCAGGGATGCATCTAACCGTGTGTTGTTAAATGTCCTAGCAGCAAAAATACAAGCACTGTAATTCCTGGTTTGAGGGCGCAGCAGAAGCTAGCCTATAGGCAAATTGACCATATCTACAGCTTCCGAATTCCTAATTGCTTGTCTAAAACTTTCAAACTTAAAGGAGGTAACTGAGTTGCATTAAGAGAAGGAACTTTTTGCCTCTCCCCTGGTAGGACAGAATGTGGCCCAAATTTTCTAATAGCCTTTTACTTTCCGTTGTGGTTTGCTCCTATAGAGCAATGATTGGGTTCTGGATGGGCATGGGGACAGGGCAGGATGTACTGATATCTGAGAGTTCTCTTCTTTCAGCTCACAGTGATACTTACTGAGAATCGCCCTGACTCTAATACACGAGCACTCGCTCTACTATTCGCTCACGTGTGTAAATCTTATTCATTAACACTAATAGCTGGACTTTCTCTTCAGCAGCTGCTGTAGAGGGAAGAGGAAGGGATACTATTAGGGCTATAAACATTCTCCTGATGATAACGTGCTGCTTTATGGAGGCTTGGAGTGGAGACATGATCACCGTTTTTAAAATCGCAAGCCACAGTTTGCTGTTGGCTTTTCTTCCGCGCCTGTCCAGGCCTCTATATTCCAAACACACCTATAAATTTAACAGGATGCAAACTCTCCAAGTCTCTCCCTGAATCTTTGCTTTTGCTCACAATGCTCTTTTGTCTCCTTTGCCTGACCTACTCATTCTTCAAGACCCAGCCAAATGTTCTCAGCCTTCTGGAGTCCAAATTCATGACCTCCTTCTTGACATCCCCAGCTCTTTTAATATTACTCAGTTGTGTTGTATCTTAAGAGGGCTATGTGTATGTTCTGCGAGCTCATTGAGGGAAAGGATCTTGGTCCTTCTCACACTTGGCCTGTATTTTCTAAGCATGTTGAAATTGAATTGTAACAGTTGTTGAATTTTTTGTGTTTTTTTCCACATGAGTGTTTTTGCTTTATCCTTGTCACCTGATCATAGATGAGAGCATTCAAAGTCTTTTAGCCAGTTGTTGATGGAATACTCTTATTTTCCACATACTTAAATAAGCTAGGGTGTTATCTATTTAACTTTGCATCCTCAACACCTGACACATTGTTTACCACATGATAGACATTCAGTAAATTTCTATTCACTGAGGGATGTGTGCATCTCATAAGGATATGGAAGGTTGTTTTACCATTTCCACATATTATAGAAAGACCTTTGTATAAAACTACAGATCTTGTTGCTTTTTATTATTTCTTTTTAGATGGGTGACTCTGACTTAGCATGTTTGATTTAGAACTAGAGCACTTCTTAGGAAGCACAATTCTTCTGGGGAATGAAAATAAGGGTAAATGTTCTGTACCACACAATTCTGTATTCCCTATCCATTTCTGAAGTGTTGATAACCATGAAATGAAACACATTTTAACTTCCAATTTTTAAGAATTAAAAAATGTAAGCTATGAAAACAACCACTCATCTTCTTTTAAAGATTAACATAATCTAATAAGCTTTTAATATTTTTTAGTGGTGTGTGGAAAACAGGATTCCTTCTATTAGACTATTAAATGTGATATTTAAAACCACCTATTTGTATTTTTGTAAGCTAAAAAAAAAAAAAATCAGACACTAGTTGTAAATTCTAATGTGCTTAAAATCTTTGTGCCCCAGCCCCCAGAGATGTGGGGGGAGAAAGAAAGCACCAGGGTATGAGTCTGGGTCTAGGCAGGCTAGAGAGATCGTGCTGGTAATTTGAACAAAGAAAAATTTAATGCAAAGAATTATTAACTAGTAAACGGTCTCCAATGACTAAAAGTTATAAAAGAGGCTCTAAGGAATATTGCATTAATAAATGTAAGGAGCAGCTACTACTTCTAGGACTGGAGAGATTGATTATCCAAGGAAGGAATGGAGAGGGTCTCCCTACTCAAGACCGAGATCAGACCTTGTAGAAAGAATGTGGCTGTGGCCTGCTGGATGGTGACATTCTCTGGGGTGCCTCAGGCCAGAGCTGGTCTGTAGGAAGCCACCCCCTAGGGTGTGAATGGGGTGGCCTGGGTCCTCCACAGGAAGACACCTGCTGGGGTCTCTTGAATGCCCCCTGGCAGACACAGTAGGAGAAGACCCTGAATAATATTCCAGTGTATGGATATACACCACATTTTACTTTTACATTCATCTGTTGATGAACTTTTGGGTTGTTTTCGCTTTTTGGCTATTATGAATAGTGCTGTTATATAAAAAACTGTTATACACGTTTTTGTGTGGACACGGTTTCCTTTCTCTTGGATAGATACCT